ACATACAATATTATACAACATCAGCTTCAGGTGTACAGTGCAGTGATCAAGCCTCTTCCCCATCCGAGGTTGGTTTTCTTAATTGTGCCCATGTTTGTTTTCATCTCTAGTCAGGGCTGGGGGTTTTTAAAATATCCCCTACCCGTGTTTTTTATTTTTTTGTTGTTGTTTTTTGGGGTTTTTTTGCAAAGGATTCTCTAAACCAAATTTCTGAAGGAAGATGGGGGAACATAATTGCTGCTTAAAACCACAGGATGTATTTCCTGTTAATCAATTCATACTGCATCTTGGGATTTGAAATGATGTGATTGAAGCATTTCCAAAGAATGTCTGGTAAATATGAAATGAGGTCTTCTGAGAAGAGTTAAGTTCTTAAAATCACATTTTATCCTCTCAGAGCATTAAATTGTTGCCATGGAAGCTGGGATAAAGGGAAATTAATTTTCTTAATAGGCAGCTGCTTCCTAAGAGGCACCTTGTACAAGGAAAGTCTCTAAGTTGCTTTTCTACTATGTATTGGGTTGTCGGAAAAGTCATGACACATTTTTGCAATGAAAAACATAGAAAAAGTATGTCATGACTTCTCTGACAACCCAATAGTTGACTGTAAAGCATAAAAGATCATCTTAGAATGTAGTTGTGGATTCTGGAAAGTAACCAATAGGTTTTTGGTGTTTGAGTTTTGAGCCTTGGTTTGCTTCACAAAAAGCCCTAGGAGGTCGTCGAATGTTTTTTTGTGTAGCCATATGGAATAAGTAAAAGAGTTAAGGGGTGGAGTCAAAGATTAATTGATAAGATTGGGTCTGAGTGCTGGGGAGAAACATCAGCGGACCGTGCGCCCTACGAGGGCCTAAGGGTTGTTGAGAAGCAAAAGGAGAGTCATGCTCATCTTTAATGACAGAATCAAATGGAACAGGGGAGTCCACCCAAGGAAATCAACTAAAAAATCTAGGATGCTGAAAGTTTGGCAAAAAAGAGAATATCAAAAATAAAAATAGAAGCAGCCATTACCCATGACGGTCATGGGTACAGTCAGCTAGAACCGTTTTAACTGAATAATCAGATCGAAGCCTAGATCTAGGGGGGGATTTGATGGACGCTGCACAGAGAAGTGAATGTCATAGGGCCTGATGAAGGGAATGGATTGTGCTGGGGCCGTGAGAACAAGTGATAGCTTTGACGCCGTCAGAAATTAAACACACGTGGAGGTGTTTAAAGGCTAGGAGCCTAAGAATGGAATAGCATTGAGGAAGGCTATGAATAGAGAGTAAATATTGGAGAAAGACCTCACTGAGGGAACCTGGGGAATTAGTAAGGGATTGCAAATATTGGTGTCTGGGTCCCTTCTCCAGTGCCCATGACAGGCAGCCCTGATTATCACAGCTCTGCCTCCTGCAAAGCACAGACGGGATGACTTTTTTTTTTAACCAAGCAGCCCAGGAACCACCACAGGCCAATTCTCCTTCACATTGACAGAGCCTCTAACCTGATCAGCAGAACATCTGGGCTTTAGTTTTGGACCCTGCCAATTACCAAATGTGTCCCATGACATCTCCTAAACCTCTTGGTCCCTCCATTGTCATCAGGGTGGAGCAGAAGACCTCTGACACCTCATCCAGTTCTAACACAGTGTAGCTCTTTGGGAAGATATGCTTGGTTGACAAGATGCAGGGTTTACCTTTCCCCCTCTCTACTGCAGCTAAGGGGGGAAATCTGCTGTTCTAACCACTGAGGAGGCTTCATCAAAGGAGGGCGATGGAGGGTCTCAAGAGGTGGACAGCTCCTCAACGTTGCCAAAAGCATCTACTCAAACCAAAAATAATGTAAAATGCTCTTAATTTTTCTTCTTTTTATATGTTGCACTTAGCATGTTGATAACCCACGTATGCCTAGAACATAGAGGATTCCTATTCCTTCTCCAAGATTTTTGAGTCATTGCTCTCTTTTCTCTTTTCTCCTCCCCCTTTCTGTTGCAGAAAAGGAAGTGATGACCACTTGATACTTACTAACTAAAATCCTTCTGCTAAAGATCAAGTATCAGGCCCCCTTCTCCAGTGACAATGCAGAGGAATCCCACGTGGTTTGGACCAAAATACTGATGGTTAATGTGGAGTGGGAAAGAGGACCGACTGTCAGCTGGCTGACCGCAACTGAAGTTCCAAAGTTCCCTTTTTATAAACTTGGACGATGAAGCATAGACCACAGTCAACTACTGGGCATTAGTGCAATAGACCAGCGATAATGAAATTCTCTATTAGTCTTTTAATTTATGACATGACAATATTGGGTTGGGGAAAAAAAATCACATTTCAGAGAGGGCAAAACAATGGTGTTTAGAGCCTCACATTTAAAGATGTGTGTTTATCATCAAATAAGAGTTTGTTTTCAAAATGATTCTTGGGTTAAAAGCCGTTTGTTAGTTCATGAGCTGCACAGAGATGAAGTTGGTGGCAATACCAAATTCGAGACTCAAGCTGGAGAACTATTAGGTCATTTAAGGATCACATTTAAATCAACAAAAAGACCTATTCAGTGGACATTTCTTGGCCTGTTTTCTTGTGGTTTTCTTCAGCATGATATGAAGCAACCATCGGCATAGTCAGTGGGATGAATAGGAAACATCTTGTCACTTGTGCTGACTGTTGATTGTACACACACGGCATGTGGAGTAAATTATAGCAGTGGTCACTCATTTTAACAAACGGACTCTACTAGGGTGGGGATTTACCCATCTCAAGCAAGGAAGATGGTATTTTTTACCTAAATAAATTTATTTTTATCAAATGTGAATGAATACTATGTTTTTCCATGTAATATCTCTTCACATTCACCTAGTGAAAAATTCATGTCACGTCTCTATGAACTCTCTAGTCTTTAAAAGGGATTTCTCACTTTCTTAAAAGCAGTGTAGGAAATATGGGGGCTAGTATATAGGAGTTATTCAATAAATGTTTATGATAATGACTTCGGAGATGAAAATCACTTCATGCATAGGTTTATTTCATACTTGTGCTATCTCAGGGGTCAACTATTTTAAATTGATTGGTGAAGGGGAGAATTTAAATTAAGCAGGACCCTCGTTCCAGGGCTCTCCCCGTTTTTTCCCTGCCTTTCCCCACCAAGCCCTTACCAGGTTTTCCTTATGACCCATTCCTCTCTCCTTGTCCCTGCACATTCTTCACATCCCTGTACCAAGTTTAGGCTGGGAAAATCATCCAGTTAATACCATTAAAATTTATAAGTGAATGACTGGTGTCTACACTCACAATACTTTTCTAAAATTATCATTTAAATTCATTTCTTAGAAAAAATGTCAAGAGTTATATTTGACTTTTAAACTAATGGCCGTTTAACTGGTGATTCTGGGGTCAGTTGCATGACCCCAGAATCAGGTATGCAATTAGATCACTTATTCACTTCTGAATATACCCCAATACTTAATTTGTCTCTGAACAGAATTGCTATTAAAGCCTTTTGTGAAATCTGCAGCTGTGACTGCCATTTGAATAGAAGGTTAATGATGGTCTTCCATGCTCGTGTTTGTTTTTTTTATTGGCTTTCATGTTTCCTTTTATTTCTTTTCCCTCCAGCTGGATAGAACACTTTTAGGAAGAAAAATCTTTTTTCAAGGTTACCCTGTATCTGTGGAAACATTGTTTTCTCTCTTTTTAATAATTTTAAACAATTGTCACTTTACCAACTGTATTATCTGTTCAGATTTTATTGAACAATGTTGTTCTCATAGCTCTGTTAATAGACACATCTGGGACAAACCATTTTCTCCCCTACCCTAAGCCTCTACGTGGAGAGTTCACTGTGCAAGTCAGGATAATGTTGCTCCTGCCTAACGGTTTTATTTTAGGATTTCCAACTTTTGTAGAATGTGCCTCCTTGGCTGGTAGGGACACCCTTAAAGCCAGATGGAATGTCCTTAAGATTATTGGCTTGCGGTGGTAAAAAAGAGGATGGGCATGGGCGCCATCTTGAGTTAAAATCCCACCTTACCCTGTAGCTCTGTGTCCCTGGGCAAGTTACTTTCCAATTCTAAGTGGTGACTATAAACCTCAGTCAATGGTGGGATTGGCATTTAAGTCAAATAAGTCAGACAGAGCCTGGGATTAAGTTGAAACCTGAGCCATTTGTTCCTTTTGGTTTTCTGTGGTGTTTATAGATTCCAGTGGACCAGGGCATAGTGAAGACATTATGACATTTAGTTTGCAACCTATCCGCCTGGGCTCCTGATTTCCTTCTACTAGCTGAGTCTCCTTGCACAGGTCATACCGGGCCTCGACTTTCTCATCTGTAAAATGGGAATTGTGAGGGTTAAATGTCAAAACGTAAAGTTCATAGAACAGAGCGTGAGTCGTAAGTGCTCAATGAATATTAGATCTTCAGGAAGCTCTTCTCCCATGGCCTAGAAATGCACAGATCTATTCACCAGCCAAACACATCTGTATTTTGTAGTGCGCTCACCACACACTTTTGGTGGACTTTGTTCCAGTTAGGACTTTTAAGTGTGCAAATGTCCCACTGGCACACTTAAAGTCCTTGCAAATGTCCCACCAGCCCTGACCTAGAAGCAATAATCAACTGAGAAGCTCACACTTAGTTGTACAGGAATGTCATGGATATGAGCAGCCTAAGTGCCTTTCGTTAGGGGCAAAGCCATCAGTCCTGATGGGAGAGTTAAGGGGCCCAGGTCTAAGCGGTCACAAAGCCCAGTCCTTCACCCTGGGCAAGGCCCTTCATCCTCTATTAGGAGCCCACTGCCTTAACCAAATTTGTCAGAATGTGTGAAATGCAGGTCTGCCCGTTGCTGATCTGAGGTAGCAAATACAAAAGGGTGAGAGAGGGTATTCAGGACAAGCTCTTCATGAGATTCCAGCTACCACTCCCCAACCCTACTGAGTGCCAGGATCACAACAATGGGAGGAGGGGTGCCTGACCCAGTGGAGACCTAGGCTCAGAATCTCAGGTGTAGGAAAAGCACAGCAGCGCAGTCTTTTGATCAAGGGGCAAATAGCCAGTCAGTCACCCTCTAGTGCCTCGGGGCCTCCCTGTGAATGCCCACCACTGCCATTGATGTTTAGGGGGCCCTAGAGTCCTTGGGGAATTGTGTTCAATGAGCTACTATGGCCTTGGCCACAGATTGCTTCTGTCAATATAAAGAGCTATGATGTTTAAAGACATGATTCCAGATGTCTGAACAATTCTCTTGGGGCCACCACTTCAGTAACATTGCATGACTAGACCCTATTTCACTGTTAATCCGTTTCACCTTTATTTTCATGTAACTAGAGCCAATTTTATTTTACTACCCTTGACTCAAAGTTTGAACATCTCAACCACAGTATTCCAATGTTGCTGAGTCTTTTCCTACCAAACATCTGGAATTCCCCAGTACTTGTAACACGTGCATGAAGTAGCTCTTGTGTGACAGAGTGATTGAGGGCCTCACGCATGAAACCCTAAGCACCGCGTTCAGATTTGAGGCATGGCAGGAAGGACAGTGAGCCATGGGCATGGGGAACCGGAGGCTGGTGATTCGGCATGTTGGAGCAAGTGCTGAGTGCCTCTACTTCTCCCCGCTGCACTCCCCGCTTTGTTTTTCCACTTGAGATGTTTTGGGCTCTCAGTATTGATAATACATAGGGCTAGATTTGTGGCTTTGTGACCTGTGCATTCTCAGAGGACCCACACTTGGTTTAATGCTCTGCCATCACAGTCTTGCAATTTTTAATAGTTTTTGAAATTGCATCAAAGTTATGCAGCAAATTCTGATGCTAAGACTTTGTCACTCAGTGATTAAAGCATGGCCTTTTAGAAAAAGGCTAAGAAATCAGCATTGTACTTTTTCTTTAAAACAACTTAAATATAATAAAAGGAAAGTGTGAACCTGAGTGGGAATTGTGTTTTACAGACATTTGGGTACATGATTTTTCTCAGTCTCGGTTCTCACAAATGAGTGGCTGTGGAGCTGCTGCTTAACTCGCAAAGATGGAGACTAAACTGGGCTTGGTGGTACTGGTCAGTGTTGCCGCCATGTCACGCACACCAGCAGGTCGAATGCCAGCTGCTCACATTCTTCCCTGTGCCCCTGCCCTCTGCTGATGAACAGCCTCATAGTGTGGCATTGCATGTAATGTTCTTCCCTTGACAGAGAATCAGCCAAGGGTGGCTCATCTGCTAAACTCCAGCATGTTTGCCCAGCTGCCATGTGACCTCCGACCTTGCTCGGCAAAGTCCTTGGGACCTGCTCCACACACTGGGCTTCCCAGCTCTCCCTGCAAGCTCTCTGCAGCCATTTGCTTTAGCATGAAGGGCCTATCTTTGAATGGGGACCTGTAGGCTTGTTACACATGCTGTGCAGTGGCGGAAATAACATATTAACACTGGGAACGCTTCCAGATGAACCAAATCTCAAAATAGACACTCAAGTTGTTAGGGAAAAAAAGGCATTTCATGGCTGTTGTACCTTGGGTTCATTTACAGCAAATGGCTGCTGCAATCCGGTGGGTAAGAATAATGGCAAATGTTTCTCTTGCCATCTGTCTTTGCCAGAGAGCCAGGGAGTGAATGAGAAGCTAAATGAATTACGTATGAAGATTTTGCTCACCACCTCACATAACAAGGACAGCAAAACTCTGACTTCTTAAAGACCCTTGGGAGCTATTGGTCATGGTGAATGGGAGAGACAATTTATTAGTGTGATGTATGTTTCTTAGTTTCTAATGATACATAAATTATCCCATGAGCCATGATACATATGGTTTAAAAAGAATTTGAAATGAAAGCCATTTTTTTTTCTAACAACACTAATTGCCTAGCAGCAGTAAATTACTCATCCCCCGCTGACTGTGGGCTGTGGTCATTACTCTCTCCTTGAGGTTCAGTGGATGTCCCCCAAGAGGAATGTTTGCTCTGACAAAGTAAATTTACAGCCTCACTTGTGAGCCTGCCATGCTAGGTCTACGGAAAGAGAGGGAGGGAGTTCGTAGTGCCTCCCGGATCTAGCACCATGCGTTCCTGCCATCCTGCGTGTGTTATGTATGATAACAGGACAGTGAATTGGGTCTTAGCTCTTGGTTGCCTTTGAGAAAACACTAGGTAGCTCCTGCCTACCTGAAGTATAAATCAAGGCCTCTTGAGGAGAACTAGACAATGCTAGAAGTCAGACTTGAATAATACATTGTATTTGACCAGATGGCCAAGGTGTGGGGTGGGGGTAGGGCTTTTTGGATAAAGGGACTAGTATGGCAAAGGCTTGGATATCTGAGAGAAAACCAGTCAGTTAATAAAACTATGTTTTGGTATGGCCTGAATACAGGTTTTATGTTAGGGAACATGATAGAAGCCTAGAGAAGTGACAAGAGAAGGCCACAAGGACCGTGAATGCCATGGGAGGGCTTTAGACCTGGTGCTGCATGACCAGGAGAGGCAGAACTGTGAAGGATGGATTGGGATAGAGTGAGGTAAGCAGGGATTACAAAGCTGCTGCAATCATTCAGGAGAGAGAGAGAGAGAGAGAGAGAGAGAGATAAATGATGCTATAACCCTGTAATGAAACACAATAACAGACACTTAGAAATTTGCCTGAGAAGTGTCTCTAAGGATTACACCAGATCTCACATACATGTTTTATCTGTCTATACATCTATATTTTCCTTTGTTAAGACTTTTCTCCTAAATACCCAGTCATTTTCTTGGGAGTTCATGCTTTTGGGCTATGCATTTAGAAAGGAGGGTCTCTTTTAAAAACTTTTATTATTGAGAAATACACGTATGAGGAT